TTAACATTATTCCCTCTAAGAATTCTATAAGGCGCTGTATTTCCGGGTTTTTTTGTTTTTGTTTTTTTTCATAACGGTATAATACAAAGAATTTTGCATTATACTTTGATAACATACTTATTAGATTTGTTTCTCGTTCAGTATTCCGTTCTCGTTCAGTAGTCCGATGACATTTTAATTCATTTAATAACACAAACCGCCTTGAGAAAGAGAAAAACATTGCCACATTGTGTATCATTACAACAAGATGTTCAGCATTTCCCCCGACACTCGTTATTTGAATATCTGCAAGAAAACCCAACTAACAACCACCAGAGGACATTTTAATCTTTACTTTATTTGAAGCTAATAGCAAGCTGCGTTAAATTGTGCCATATCTATTTCATAAAAAAAAATTCTCAAATTAGTCTCTTTCTTTCTTTAAACAACTCGATTACAATGATTTTCTTTAGTTCCTTCTTTCTTTCTTTCTATTGTTCATGTACTACATACAATTTCTTGATCATTTTTCATCATTCCTTTCTTTACCGATATGAAAATTGCATATCAAACAACTATTAGGAAGCATAAAACATAGAAAACAAGATAAGATGTTTGTACTCGTACCCCAATATTTTCAATAAAATTTAAACTGTAGGCTTTCTCAAGAAAATATACTTTAAGTAATGGAGTTTCCATTTCCTGTTGAGTCTAAAAGTCGTTTATAATATGCATTAGGTTAACTGTTAGGAACACTCCCAATATCACTATAATGTTCTATTATCTAAAAGCCATATCAATTTTGATATCAATTTGAAAACTACGCTCTCTTGGGAAAGTATTATATTAAAGTTTACCTAATCCATAGGCTTAACAATGTTTCAAGTGATAGAAAACTTCATGCAGGTATACATTTAAATATCAATGCGATAATGTTTGGCGTAGAGAATTTGTTATTGTTAATAATAAAAGATAGGATAGTTTCAAATTTTTATGATTTTTTTGTGTGTATTGTATTACGTACATTTTAACACACAAAATATATTATGAAAACTTTATATCATTTTCAAAACGAAAGTATTTCTCCGATTGCTCGCATTTCCAATAATCTGATACTTTTGGGACAAATACGTGTTACTGTAAATAACTTTTATTGGGTGTAGCAAATGCCGGAAACATACTTGTTCCAACCATTTTCATGGATCATATTCCTCATCACATTTCAATGATCTATACTCACACTATAGTTGTCTTATATAATGACATTCCTCTTCTTTGATGAATATCTCAACTAGCGTTTGGCTGCACTGTGGCGTCATGTCCTAATTATTGTAAAGAGCGGAGAAACGCGTTTTAAGAATAATCTTTTTTCTAAGGATACTAAAGTGGTCACATCACAACACACAAATAATAAACCAATGTAAAATGATAAAAACAAATACAATACAAACACAAAAATAAACGGAAAAAAAAAAAACGCCCAAAACGGAAAAATTAAAACTGTTGCAGGTCCGGTTTGATTGTAATTCAATATTTGCTTATACAATATTCAAAACATAACATGAGTCGTAGATCAAACGAACTGATATCATATTAAATGCTAAAGTTAACATTTTATATGACAGTTATAACGTTTGTAACAATATATCAGTATAAGTTGTGCTGAAATTGCCCTTTTATCCTAGTTATGTGTCAATTCGTATGCCCGAGAATGTAATTTTCTTCTTTTATTTGTTTTTGACATATTTCACTTGAAAGTTTACAGTATACCAGGTCACGTACATGTTTTGTAGCTTGAAAGTAGTTTTTTAAGTATGTGACATAGTTTTAACAAAGGCATTATGTCTTACACATTGGGCATGCTCCTTTTTAGAATCTTTTGCAAGTTATCACTTTCGTATTAGTTAACTATTACTGTATTATTCTTGTAAAGGAATTAAAGGCGTGCACAATGAACAGTTATAACAGATTTTTTTCTTATGTTGTAACTTAAAGATATCGATCCTGTAACACAATTTTTAATGATTTCATAATATGATGCTCAAATTAGGATTTATCAATTTTGTAAGTTCAAAAAAGCATTATTTATAAAGATATTACCGAATTTAACATTTCATGAAAATAAAGGAAGGAAATAAAACATTTATTTTCTATACAGTCTCAGTCAAATGTTTGGATAAGAAATGAATGCATAATTATATTTTAATGATTACATATAATATGTACAAATATTTGCAGTACCTATTTTATATATTCTTCGATGTTTGAAAATTGTTTTATAAGCATAATTATATACATAAATATTATTATGAAAAAAATGTGTACATCTGTTATTGTCATCATACAGTACAAAAAGTCTGTAAAAATGAACATAATGAAAATCTGTCTATTCAATACGACATATATTATTACTGAAGACTGATAATTTACTATGTAAAATGATAACACGGAATGCGAATATTGATAATTGAGGATATTAAATGTTAGACAAATAACAAAGACGCTGTTTGCAAAACAGTTATTATATGTTATTAGGTAACGAGACATTATTTATCACTGCGCGAATGCGAACTGAAATACTGCACGCATTTGTTTACTGACAGATATTCTTAATGTTTTTGGTTACGACAGTAATGGAATGAAACATATGATGTAAGGTCTGGTAGACATTGTGGGAATAAATCGCATGTCAATCGTAACACGAGATGATATCTTCTGATGACAGTTGTTGTTCTTTTTATTTAGAGACGTCTTGAATTGCCTTCTGTTATATTTTCACTGATATACGACTACTGTTTAGACTGACAGAATACTCCAAAAGTTATTGAAATGTAGCAACCGTTAATTTAAAATAATATTGTGGATTTCATTAAAAGTGATCATACTTAGGCAGTAGCAAAGTCAAAATATTCATAATATACTGTGGCAATATAGCAAGAAGTATCACGCAAGTAGAACAGAAACTTCATATCTAATAAATAAACCATTGTCTGGACTGTATTGGAGTTGTGTTTTTTAATTACAAATACCACCCAACTATTCATAGATCATTATACATGTTATATTAGATAATAACGGTTTTCCACGAGATTGTTTTCGATACAACTATATAATATTGAGAAGCAAATTGGTTTAAAGCAGTAAATTTCAATGGTATGCTTAAAAATCATTTTCACTTTTTATCTATTATTCCTGAACCTGTTCTGTTAAGAGATGAATTAGATCTAGGGTAGTTGAAGGTGAATAAAAAACTATAATGGAAGTATTATAGGTAATAATTTAGCGTTTCCGTGCTTGGTAATATTATAAAAGGTATATAAAGTCACGGACAAAAAGTTACAAAGTGTAAAGGCTTTTTTTTATAATGAAAAATATCTTTGCAAATCGTGCATTTACATTTGAATAAGATCTAGCCGTTCTAAAACAATACTTTCAGATAATATACTTATTTATAATAGGGGATCAATTTAAAATTTATTTCTTCATATTTCTTTAATTGAAATAAAGATTAAAACCGATCCATTGATTAATTTTGTATCATTTAAGGGAACATTTAGATCTATTTATTGGTCGATGATAATAGATAAAAAAAAGTCGTGAAAAGCTATATTAGTGTTTGTTTTATACTACGCTGAGAGACATAAGTATATTATATCTTTATTTTTTTTGATTGCATAAAGTTATTTAATATTGATTAAGAATAAAATGTTCGAATGGACAAAGAAGGGATAATGATGTATCTGTGATTAAATGAAAATATAAAGTGTGCACGTTTGTTTATTTAGCATAAGCTTTCATTCCATCATTACATTTGCCACGTATGTAGAAAGGTCAAAACAATGATTTTACTATTTCCCAAGTAATGATATAGAATAAAATGACCTATTTATAAAGACTTTTGTATGAAATAACGTGGTGAACAATTAAACTTGAGAACCTTCCTTCTAGTGATTTACGTGTTTATCTATGATTTTAGTGAAAAAAGAAAGAACTGTTTTATCATTATTCTGGTCAGATGTACTGACTCCGACTTTGTTCGGGTTGATGATTGAAAATGCCGTTAAACGCTGCTAGAGGGCGTAAAAGGTATTGCGTTTCCCATGATTTGTAATGAACAGGCTGAACAAATTTTGTAAGCGTTCAGCTATTTGCTTGATCATTGCGTTGAGGGATGCTGGAATCTTTTGAATATTTTGTATTCTTTGGATTTTCTTTTTTTAAAATGACAAAATGTCCACCCAGGACATAACTGTTAGAGAATGGTATAGCTAATGTTATCATTTAATCATTTCATTATCGTTCAGGAATTGACAAAATTATTATGACTTAATGATGAAACAAGTATGCGTTCACTGTAAAAGTTATATGTGAAGCACGTAAATGTTTAAATCATTATACAAAGGCTAGAAATAGGTTGACTGTAAAGAAATTAAACATAATAACTAAGATGCTAGTAAGAGTCTTTGATTGCTGATCAAACGTCAATATATTGAGATCACAGACTAGCATATTCTCAGGTTGTTTATACGAACTCACGTCTGTATAATAACATACTTTACTACCTTTATATTGTTCTAGCCACAGTTGGACTTCAAGATATAATGTGTTATCTTATCTCAAATCAACTTGTCGTTTTGTATGCTAGACTTTTAGAGAAATGAACAGAACTAAAATAAAATTAACTGTCGTTGCTAAACAATTGTTAAGAGGTCCGGTAAGAGGAATATACAAAGTTAGAAATGAATATTAAAAAAGTAATTTTAAACCATAAGATAATTAACTGTTTTTAAGATATGAAGATTTTTTTAATATAACAAGAAATAGATAACTAAGAAAAACATTGTTTTATTGTTTTATACAAATTGTTTCATGCTTTTTCCAAAGGAACTTTTACTTTTATCATTCTTCCGTAACGTATTCATTTCACTATGTAAATACACATAACAGCTTTGGATTTGAGAGTTTCCGATACATTCACTTTTACAACAGCGCAATTCTCTTCTGAGACTTTTCAAATAGTTCTGCTGAACAGTCTATATCGCATTGGCGTAAGGGAGTCTGTAATATGCATGTTGCCTATTGTGAAATAATGGGAATAAAGCAATAAGGGGGAATAAAATTCTAACACAATTTACTGTGAAAATTGGAATTACATAATTTAAGGTAACAATGTAGTTGAATTATGGATGATATTTTACTCAACTCACAGGCATTATTTTAGTGTAATTTATACAGCGATCATTATAAATGCAGATTATGCTTTTTTTTAAATATATATTCGGCTGTTGTTCTTCCTTATTGATTCAGAACATAAAGTTTTAAGATAAAAGTGAATTTGGAAATTATTTAAATAAATTTTAATTGTTTCACTATTTAACAGGAAGACACATGAAAAGACAACGTTTTCTTAAATGTATTTGTTTAATGCTCGTATTTTTTTCTATAATCTTCATCTTCGCCATCTATTTTTTTTTTTAATTTAAAGTTTTATTAATTTAGAAATTGATATGATAATTATATCTTCTTTTCGTTTTGTTTTTAAATGCATGCCAAGATAAAACAAATTGCCAACAGATGCTTAAACAATTGAAAATAATAAAAAGTGAATAAATGATAACAATGTTTTTAAATCAGATACACATGAATTAAAGAATATATGAAGTGTGCGCTTCTTTTTATGCCAATCAAATGAAAATTTGTAATTTACAATCTACATTAATATTGTAAGTAATTACGTTGATCGTAATTCTTCAACATGGTTGTTTATATATTATATGTTAACTAAAAAGTAAATAACATCACATGATATGAACTTAAATTCTCACTAGTAACATAAAGATTGTGCGGAACAAAAACAAAAGAAATAATATAATAAGAAATAGGCATGCATTTACTAAAGAGTTTTGAATACTATTTTAATTGAACAAGCTTTGTATACAAATGCGTATCAGTTTATAAGAAAAGGTTACTACTGGGAACATAAACATTTTCATATAAAATACACAAATTCACTGTTTGTTGTTTTTTATCAAGACAAATGTGATGGACACTTTACCAGCAATAGTCATTTGCAGCTCCTGAGGGTATTGATAAATTATACACTTCAGAAAGAATATAAATCCCGCATTAAACATGAGCGAATAACTTATAAAACTCAAAGTCCTCATTAAAGTTAAACAAAGTAAATTTGAATGGAAAGAAAAATAATTATCTTTAACATACGATGTCAAGAAAAGATTTATCATTACGGAATTGTTTTTATAGACTTTAATTATCATATGAAATAGTAGATTTTAATAACATTATTTCTTTATAATTATTAATCATGTACTTGAATGATTTGATAAAAATAACGTTTATAAATAATTACTATCAATACATTTGTCAAATGTAGATTTTATATCATGCAACGATATATCAATTAAATCCAAAAGGAAACAAAACATGGACACGATTCCGTTTTGCGCGAAATTGTCAATAATTCTACAACATTAAATTCTTTTCATATATTGTTCCATAAATAAGTCTTTTTTGCTTTTTAATAAAAAACCGTTGCTAATTTTTTTTAATAATGCTAACAAACTTTGCTTTGCTTCATTGAAATGTTTGTAAATTAATTGAGCAATTTACATATTTATAAGAAATATGTATTGTGTATTCTGTGTTATGTTAATCATTTAATCTCAATTTTTAGTAAACGAGACATTGTCCTTGCTTCAAGGGGGCCCCATAACAATCCTATGCGAGATGTTTATAAAAGCTGGCAATATACCAAGTTTAATTGAACTATCTCATAGGGGTCCTATAAAGGATAGTTAAATTTCTGTGCAAGATAAAAATCTGAATCGGGCGCTTCGCTTCACTCAAGTATAAATGGGTACATGTAAGGGCATTATAATATTGTCGCGACGTAAATCTGGTTATAAGCGGGAAAAATATGTGCCCATTGTAAACGTCAAGAATTAATTACAGCCTCATACGCATACTATGGTTAGCACTTCTATAAATTACTGTTGTCATGTTTGATTTATAATTGAAAGTAACTATTTTATTAAATTGCATTGGGATATATTAACATGACATTGTTAATATACAGAACGGAAATTTATGTCAAAATGCTCTGCATTAATGCCATACGTCAAATTAGATCTTGATGTGTGTCGTCGCAATATATTATGTGAAATAAGAAATACATTATGACTAATTAATATCAATTTTCAATAAGTGAGTGTCCGAAAAATAAGCAGACGATATAGCGGATATTGAATGAGTGTAGGTTCAATACTGAATCTAATGAACAAGGTGAACAATATTCATCGGTTTCAATAAATTCACTATTTCGCCTATTAAGCGAATATAATTATCTTTTTATCCCATACCAACAATATTGACTGTTTGAAATAAAAATAAAAGCAGTTTCACACGCCAATAATATAACTCTAATATTTATATAATTATAGTGCAAATGACGTCACGTCTAAATGTATGCTCGACACTGCAATGCCGTTTTTAAAGCGTCTCAAAAGCGGCTCGAGTATATGAAAAAAGAAGATAAATAAAAATTGCAGGGTGTCATGTTTTCAAGTTTTAACTATTTTCGGTAGATACCATTCGTTTTGTAACATAACAGCTTATAAAAAATATGATTATCGTAAATATGAAATCCGACAGCATTATTTTTATTTCAGGTATTTTACATAATTTGGAAGAAGAAAGTGGCACATGGTTATTTTTGTAATCAGGGGTGAACAGATTACTAACAGTTGTTGATGATACGTTAGCAATTTGCTGTCCTTTAAACAATTTAGTTAAATGGCATGAAATGGACGATTTATTCAATTCGTCATTTTTCCATAGTTATGTAAGTATATTTCAGCCATACAAATAATGTAGAATGCGATTTTAAAATATATTTAACAGCACAAGTACACGCAATATATTTAAGAATAACAACCAAAGAATTAAATTGGAATGATTTACAAATGGCATATTTTCGATAATTATTTCAAATATTGACAAAACAGTGGAAATGCATCATTTGGATATCTATATAAAATATTTCATGCGATAAAAATGTTTATAGAGTTCTTATAAGTAATTAAGTAAGAATATTTATATGATGAAGAATGATATGTTGTTCTAAAATAAGTTATTACCTGGTATATATAGATAATAATATATAGAATCGTGTATCTCACACTTGTGAATATATTGTTTCGTTGTTATATATAAGTATCATATATATACAAATACATTTTACATACTTATTTTTTGTACTACCTAACGCCTTCCATTGTGGATTGATCTACTTTAATACTGATGAAACATTTTTTTTTTAGATATTGCCTAAAAATGATATACATTTTCATTATTTGTTGTGACATTTTAGACATGTATTTTTTTAATATAAACACAGTGAAAATGTGATGTAGTTTTCCAAATGAGGGAAACGTACGTTTTAAAGATATTATGACTGATTTGAGAATGTGTTATGTTATGAAACTTCTAGTTTGACATGCATTAGTTAACAGACAAACAGTGAACATGAATAAATGAAGCTGTTTACACAACTTTCTTATACATGTACATGTACACATATAACTAATTTTTATATAATTTTGTTGAGTATAATAACATTTTGAATAATACTAAAAGCAGTGTCACGTTAAGGAACATTATTACACATTTAATCGTTTATCATATATTGTGAGTGATTGTCATTGCGATATTTTAAATCCTGTTTTCTTTTTCTCATGACAGCTCAACAAAATGAATTCACTGCCGCCTTGTATATTAGATGATTCCATGCCATTGAATAATTCAAACAGTTCTTCTGAATCAAGGCTTTCAAACTGCAGTACACCGGCTTTTGATGATTTCTTAGATTTCGATTTACCAAGCAACTTTGAATATCAGAAACCATCTGTTTATATAATTGGATTAAATTTATTCTCATACTTCACACCATTTATACTAGTTATCGGCCTTATAGGAAACGGATTATCGCTGGCTGTATTCACATCAAAGAACATGCGCAAAATGTCTGCAAGTTCTTATCTGGCGGCGTTATCGGCAGCTGATATTTGTACCCTGACCTTCTATGTGTTTATTGAATGGTTACGAAGAGGTCTTGTCCATATTAATCCGGATGCTGAAATATTATTAAACGTTTTGAATAGAGACGGACCATGTCAAGTTTTCTTGTTTTTGTCTTACATATCTCGTGTAATGTCAACTTGGATAATTGTTGTATTCACCATCGAACGGTTTACAGGTGTTTGTTACCCACTTAAATCTTTCAAAGGAAAGTCTAAAAAGATCTTAATAGGAATGTTGATCATTGGCAGTATTCTGGTGTTATACAAACCTATTCTTAGCAGCGAGTACATAGCGAGAGGACGAATCACTTGCAGTTCAAATCCAATGTACAGTTTTGAGTCATTTGTGTTGGATTCAATTTTTGCTTTACTTATAACACTTGTTCCTTTTATCGTCATAACAATACTTAACATAATGATTATGAGAACTTTGTTCTTAAGAAATCATCGCCATAGTGAACTTTTTGCGGAAACAACTAAGATACGACTTGAGTTTACGCTTATACTGTTAGCTATTTCATTCTTCTTTATTGCGTTCAACCTTCCTTATTCGGCAGTCTGGTTCAAAAATTTTATGTCTTCGAGATTTCTGAGCATGGATGCCTATAACTTCAATCACAAAGACATTGACTACTGGAGGGGAGTGTTACATGTTACAAGAACAGTGTTTTATATGAACTATTGCGTAAATTTCTTTTTATACAGTATCACTGGTGCGTATTTTAGAAATGAACTTGCACTTATGTTGCGTTTCAAACAAAGGAAAAACAGGATCTACAAATCACATATCCGTAGTAGCAGATTTGGCAGCTCAAATCATTCTGGAACAATAGCTACATATATGGCTTAGGCTACATTAAGACATCAGTGATTTCTTTCAAAAATCAACACACCATCAGATGGTAAAATGAACATAGAAATGAAAAGAAATGTTGAATAAACGGTAATTTTTGGTGTAGTTAGGTTAAATGTGTTTACATCAATAATTAATTACCTCCTAGTTGACAATCTCGCCATAAAAACGAGTTTTTATCGCATAATATAACTGTCAAATTCACGTTGTTCGTATCATTGTTTGGAATAACAGTCTGTTATTAAGTGATCAGATAAATGTCTTTTCTTGGACTTTGCCTTGCTCATGTCTATTCCTTTTATTATATACATACAATTTGCCTCCAGTCGTTTCCGGCTGGGAAAACACCGAACATCCGTATTACAAACTTTGTATTCATCTGCTAGCCTGAGGTACATGCATACATGTACATGTATTACATCATATATATAGACATGTACTAAATGTGTAAATGGGGTTCTTATATGTCTGTGTTTAACATCTAGAACATGTCATCGGTGGAAAAAAAACCCAAGTTTGTTTTTATATTAAGATCTTCTAACATGTCACATAATCAATATAAGTAGAATGAGACTCATGTAATAAAATTCAAATAAGCTCAAACTAAAATGTACAATGGTTCCATAATTTTAGTATTTATTGTGTTGTTTTGATAAAATTGATAACCATATTGCCATATTGGCTTATAATTTTAAAAAACGGGTAGATTTGCGCGTTCCATGACGTCATGTGTAATACGTCGCGTACCATGACAGCATAACAATATCTCAGTCTTCAATTGGAATATAAAATAACTGATTTGTTCCGTCTAAATTGTTTGTTGCTCATTTAATTGAAGGTGTTCATGTATAACAAAAGGAATATTAGATGAATGAGCTGTTCTGGTTGGGTTAATCGCTCCTGTTGACTGAATTATGATGTACACATCTCTATACAATCAGCTTGATACAAACAACTAGAACAGCACATCAATGTAATATTCCTTTATATATGAGCCCTACATGAAAAACAATTAAGACCAGCATCGGGACTGGACCAAAGGTGTCTTTATTTAAGGTAGGTTTACTTACACCAGCGTCTTAATTGTAGATATTCTTATCATTACTTATAAACTTTATGACCCTGTTCTATGTCCGCAATTTTATAAGAACAAGCAATATGTATCTAAACTGCAAATACATATAAAAGTATTTTATAATATTTAATATGATGTGAATAAAACATATTTTTGAAGTAATTTAATATTAAATATTCTAAATGATTCTTGTTATTTAAGACACATAAATTTGTAAGTAATGATTGTCTTTGAAGAAACGTGCTTCTGTGATAATTTTGTTTTGCTTAAAAGGCGTGGGTAATAAGTATTTATCAAAATAAGTGTGCCTCTCTTTTCAATTTGATAAATAAGAACATAAGCGAATTGATCGTCAAATAATATTGAGTGTTTTTTTTTCTAACAGTTAACGGTAGCATCTATTTTTAAGATAATATAAATGCTAACAAAACGAATATGTGCATTTCTTTATTATTCTCAAATTGTTTGCTTTTAATATAAACAATTTATATCGGATAACAACGACAATATAACACTTATCAGAAGAGTTGTTGTCTTGTTAATTTGTAAAATCTGTAATCGTATTATTAACGCCACAACAACAAAATCTCATGCAATAACCATTCAGAAATATTTTTGTTATTTTTGTTGACAAAACAAAACGTGTTCATGCAAGGCTCTATACCTAACATAATGTTTTATGTGAAATGTCATGTATTTATTGCGTACTCTAGCTTCATTTTTCCATCTCGCAACTTTAGATTAAGAAACATTTAGATAGTTTATTGACGTGTAATAACAGATATGTTTATTTCTTGACTGATGGCTTTAAATCCTTGTCGCAACATTAATGTATTTTGACACGAATGCACTTTGTTCGCTAGAGGTTTCAAATAATGAGACATTTCATTTTAATCACCTGTCATATACGTGCATTACAATGTTGATAAATTGTATACTTTATATTTCAAACCTTTAATCGGACAATTTGTGAAATGTTGCAGTTCACATAGCATTAATCTCAAATATAATGCATATCTGATCGTTGATAACTCGACCAAGGCACGCGCTTTACTTAAAGAGGGCCCATTGACAGCTTTTATGGAATAGTAGAAATGTGTCACATTGACGAACCTATAATACCCGACGACGACAACAACAACAACAACAACGAAAATGTATTCATTAAATAGTTTTCGTATCGACATATCTTTTTATTTTTAAAAATAAACAGCATTTAAATGTACGCATACATTTTGTAAATGCAGCCATAGTCAGCATTTACAAAAATATAAAGCTTTTTTTCACAATATTTAGTAAGAGACTTCGGTTATTTATATGGTTTTCCTTTTAAGAAAATAAAACGTTATCGTCATTTTAACAAATGTGATATTTATAGAAAAGAAAAATTTAAGTACCTTTAACTAGAACATGAACAATAGACTGACTCTTCGAAGGGGCGTGCTTTACTTTTTTCTTTTTAATTCAGTGAATATGTACACAAGCAATGTTAACATCTTAATTGTAAGGGCGGAACAACATTTTTTTCACGACATTTATAGTTTAGTCAATTTCTGACCAAATCCGGAAACCATGTTAGTGAAACAAGTAGACCGAACTACAAATCAAACAGAAATGTTTACTGATGTGTTGCATATATATCGGTAATGTCGGTTTATTGTAGGGAAGTCATTTATCCAAACGAACTGATTTGTTTAAAGGTGACTGAATGTCAGTACGTTCTCATTAAGATAGTATGCTAATCTGTTCCTATCATTGTATTATAATTTGGCGTTAACAATTGATGTTTGTTAACTTTTTTTTATTTTTCACCGGAAAGACAATTTTCTATTATAGCATTTATTCAACTCGAAAAATCGTACGTGTACTGTAATCTGTATTAAAGTAGATACTATTATATTATGGGATTGTTGAACATTTGTAAGGTATAAACTGATGACTAGAGACACTTGTCTCTTTTCATTTGATTCAACTCTTTTACGAAACAAACGTTATAGTATTACAAGTTGTTATTTAAACGATGCAGCGTATCTTTGTTATTATGAGATAAGTTATTAACGTTATCATTAATTTCTGTTAATTCGACGCTGGTAAGCATGCCAAAATAACCATTTCGTTGAACATGCTTTACAGATGTCATATCAGTGATACAAATTAATTACTAAAAATCAAGGAAAGTATTGAAAATTTTAAATTGAAACATTATGCAAGTAAAAGGATAATAAATAATATACTTATCCATGAACCCTATATGACCTGTACGTTTAAAATACTGCTAACAATACAATACGAGTGCTAGCCAACAGAAATTGACAATGAACTACACATGTCTTAGGGCGATCCTTTATTAGCAAAAAATCAGAATGTCCAATTATTTTACATTAGTTTCTTAGTGATCTGAGTTATTTTCGTATAATCTAAAGAAAGTCCTAACTTCTGTCAAGACGTTGTAGATAAATGGAAAATCATATGCATTATTAAAACAGTATGAAAATTTTGAGTTTGCGCGACAAACACATTTAGTATATTATTATCAGTAGCCAAACAAATTGAAAAACGCACTAATTTCAATCCAAGAAGAATTTCACCAGTTGATAGAAGTTACTGTTCTACAATAAGCGACATTATCACTTCCCGTACTATCATATTCGATAACATTTTCTTCACCACTTTACATTTCACATTTTGTTTTTATTAATAGCTTTCAAATAATTTATTCATATGGCATAAGCATATGTTACGTTTTGATATATATTCTAACTTTGTACTAATTTAAAACATTATTAAATCGAGCTGATACAGCAGTAAAACGTAATGTTGATTCTAATAATTTAAAGGTTTCAAGTAGGCTTGAGTGTTTATGTTTAGTTTACTATATCGCACAGTGTGCTTTGGAATACAGAAAGTAAAAACATGCGTAGCATTGATTGTATATATAATAACCATTGATAAGTATTTGTTGCAGGAATTTCAGGGTTGAAAACTTGCCCGTGTGAATATTATAAATTTTATTAAACTTAAAATATCTATTATTTCATTATTGTGCAAATTTTGTGAAAAACTTCCTAGAACTATGAACTATTCACCTAAGTGTCAAGTCCAATCGTCACAGTTTTCTGAAACACAATAGCTTCAAAGTGGTATGAATGCAACTGCACGTGAGGCTTATCTATGGCATGTGCAGCTAAACATTGCCAAGATATTTCTCTGTCAGTGCATAGTGTTCCAGCTGTCATATTTAATCTGACTTAGAAAATAAGCTGCTGTTCTAGGAAGTAAAATTGAATGTTATTTATACAGAAAAAGAAGACTGAAACAGCATTTGAAAACTTGGTTTACGAGGTTTAGACATACTTCATAATTTCGTTGCCACTAGACAAAACTATTCAGTGTTAAATTTAAATATGACTTAAACGTTGTTTAGATTTCCGCTGACAAGTTAATTGCCGGGAATATTGTTTATGTTAATGATTAATTAACCATTTACCATTTCCCTGTCATGGGACGTAATGATAAACAATTGTTATTTAAGGGCTATTCAAAGATTATACTTGAGGAAATTTAAAACTAATCAAAAAACTTTATTGTTCTCTGATCGACTATTAATCAGACAATGTGCCAAAACATGTTTAATATTCTTCAATGTTTTCAGTTTTTTAATATCTTGAACACCACAAACAGTTTTTTTTATTGCAAGATTCTAATTAGTTGTTATCATTGTGACAATGTAATATGAACGTTTATAAATTGAACAATAGTAATTTATATAAATGACACAGATAAAAAATATGCGAATTAACCATTAAACAAATAAATAAATAAATAAATAAATAAATAAAAAAAAATAAAAGAATGAACAAACAAATAAATTTATTAATATTTTTATGACAAAAAATCAATCAATCAATCAAAAGTAAATACTTGTTTACTTTTTTCGTTTCATGCTATTAAATGATAGGCGTTCTTACCATCTGGGCGAACGTGAAATTGCATTGACAACCTTTATCACCTTTTTGTTTGGTCACTACAAATTCAGTTTATTCTTATGTTGATAACTTTACAAACGCTTATGAATCCTAAAAAATTAAAAGACGGCTAGCACGGTACTGAATTTTACGACCAAACCTGAATAGATTCCATCAATGGTATTAAAGAAAGCAACCATACAATAAAATTTATCCGATGCAGACATTCGTA